ATGATAATAAATAGCAGTAATAATAAATAATAATAATACGAAATGCGATCGTCTTGTAATAATATGAAATGCGGTTCAAGAAGACAATATCAATCTAAACTAAACATTTATATATACTTCAGCTGAATAAACAAAACAATAACAAAATAACAATGCAAAGATTACTGATCATTGGTAGCATAAATTAATTAAGAGAAGCATACAATTATATATAATTACTTTTCAACAATTTTAATCATGTCTTATTGTATACCGGCAATTTTGAATCACGCTTAGTTTTCTACAATAACATCATGTCATTTAGACTGCGACCTGAGATTTTTTTTTTTCTAATGAGGTTGAATAGCTTTGGATCGGTCGGAAAAACAAGATAGAGAAATAATAATTAGTACAGCAACAGTAAAAGGATTCAACTAACTCCTATACTTTACAATAAAATTATTCACGTAGAAAAAAAAAAACTACATTTAACTTAGGAAGAATCATTTGCTATAGATAATAAAAGTTCTCAGAATTCAGAACAAAATAAATAATGAACAGAATTGTAATAAGCTCTTTAAATACGTGCCTAACTGCTATATCAAGAAATGATTTTTATTCATGTAGTGTATAATGAGACAAGCAAAGAAATAAAAATTTTATAATTTAAACGATTAATAATAGATTTGTAGCCGAAGCAAAACTTTCAATTTCACAATCAATTGAAGAGAAAGAAATGCCAAGATACAAAATCGAAATAATATAAACTGATATAATGGAAATGCAAAAAACTTTTGTTGAAATTAGTACCCGAACATAAATAGTTTCTAAAATAAATTGAAATATAAGAAAAAAAAAAGACATACATAATTGACCACATCCTGTCAATCATTTCTATCAGTTATTTCAAGCAACAAGATAAACTTCTGGAACGTTTACGTGTCGTACCAAATTGCTGGAAATAACGTTCACCGAGCATATTTGCTTCTGTCCATTGTTTAAATCTGAAATTAAACTTTGAAGTGTTAATTTTTTTCAATTTAAAAATTCCTAGAATTTTTCATTAAATGAACATATTTACCTTGTTAGATGCTTGAATAGACGAAATTTGGTAGGTTGCGCCCAAGTATTACCGACAAAGATCTTCAGGCATAACAGATCCATCTGTTCCACATGATAGAGCAAATCTACAGATACCGCATAACCAAGCAATCTTGAGAGATGTTGCAGCTGATTTGCCTAAAATTTCAGGAGCATAACTTAAATAAATCACAATTCAAAATATAATACAAATCTCATCAAGATTAAGTTATTTTTATCAAAATTGAGGAATTTACAAACTATAACAATTTTTCTAAAAATTTTTTTTTTCTTAAAATCAAATTGTAGCAAGTTTCTAAAAGTTTTTTTTT